GCCGGCCCTGCCCCGCACGGTCCCTGCTCCAGCTCGTGCAGCTGGAGCTGCCTGGGATGCGTGCTGTGCCAGCCGCACGTTGAAGGGTTGGCGATCTGGTACCGTTTGTGATCTGGCAAAACTTTCTTAAAGCGCACGACGAAGACAAGTCCACAGGCCCCCGAAGCGGCCCGGGTCAGAGACTAGCTCCTGGGCTCCTGCCTCTGTCCCAGGGAGCTGCGCTCGCCGCTTCCCCGCGTGCGCTCAGCTCACTCACGTTCGTGGGTGTCATAATGGGGCTTAAATTTTTTTATTTGTTTCAGCACCGGGGCCAGCATTGACTCGGTTCCTTTAGCCTGAGTGTCAGGGTGGGGCAGGGAGTGTTAGGCGACAGGTGGGGAAGGAAAAGCGCAGCAGAGGTAGCGCCGTGTACCTGCCTCACTCTTTCCACCTGCCCACATTGCTTCTCGTGTCCGGCAGATCCAGTTGATGAAAGAACTGTTGTGTGTTTTGAGCCTGCATATCTGAGGGATTTTGTTCGTTGTGTGGGGGGTGTTTTGTTGGAGGGAGTGGGTGGCAGGGCAGTGATCAAGCTTGGAAACAGACTACTTGCCATTGGATAAACACTTGCATTGTTATGTCCCCATTAGTACTAGAATCCATCAGCACCACGAGTCTTCTGCTGCTTCTTAAATTAACACAGGACAGTAGAGCCGCTTTCACAAGTTTGTGGGCCCTGCCTGCTTTCCCAGTGATTGTGATCATACCTCAGCTTTCCTTTGGTTCTGTTGACAGTTTTATCCACTTAAATTGTTGACTCTCCAGCTCTTTCAGCATTTAATTTATTACATTTATATTATAATTCAAAGCCCATATTTCAAAATACAAATGATTGCCCAAGGGTTCAAAATTAATTTCAGGCTTTTCAGCAAAAGCAACCATATTCATACTATAATTTTACCTTTCAAAGAAAGTAATGAATTTCTTGATGATGTTATCATCCTAACCATCCAAGGCAGAGAGGGAGAAACATGTACAGGCAGATTTAGAGACGTCCTTAATTCAACAAATATTTACTGTGACTTGCTATTGTAGTCAGGTGCTGTGCTAGTTGAGGGGGTGGGTGAAAGTATAAAGGTAATGACATAGACCAAGGTCCTTCACAGAACCTTCATTATAGACCAGTGATTGCCCAATAGAAATATGTGAGCCAAATATTTAATTTTTTTTAGTAGCCACATTAAAAAATTAAACAGGTCAAGTTAATTTTAGTAATATATTTTATTTAACTGAAATACATTCAGAATATTATCATTTCAGCATGTATTTAATATGTAAAGTTATTCATAGAATGGTTTACAATTTTTTGTACTAAGTCTTAAAGTCTGGTATATATTTTATACTTAAATCACATCTCATTTGGGATTAGCCACATTGTAGGTACTCAGCCACTGTGGCTAATGGCTACTGTATTACACAACATGGGTGTGTGTGTGTGTGTGTGGCGGAGGAGGGAGGTTAGGGAGGAATACAGGCTCCAGATAGGATGTGATGAGAGAAAGCTTGAAGTGTCGTTCAAGCCAGGCCAAGGATCCTGCTGGGGTAGAGATGTTTAAGCTTAGATCAGAATGAATTGCTCAAAGTTACAAGGTTAGCTAGTGGAAAGTAGGTTGCTAGAAGCCAGAAATTAAAAGCCTTAGCTAGAATTTGTTTATTTCTTACTGTGTGACTTGGAACTAGGCTTCGTATTTTCCCTATCTGTAAAAAACAAATGGTTGATTTCCAGGATCAGTGGAATTATTAAAAGGTGCTAACCAAAGAAATGCTTTTCTAAGGACATTGATAAGGAACGTACAATGCCCTTAGAACTGGAAACATCATTTATAGTGTGTGTGTCCTAAAGTTACTGGGACAAGATTTCTTTCCAGTCTCAATAAAGTTGGTCATCCTTGACCAAAGAAAACTTATGAACTAAACAGTGCAGATTCCATTGTGACTGTTCTGAGTGTAGCAGTTTTTCTTTCTTTTCCATGCCCTCAGGGAGGATCTTATGCATGTATGTGTTCCAGTCTCTGTGGGAGAGTGTCATGCCCATCTCAGTTCAGTATACACAGCATGTTACACAGAGTATAAGGAAGAGAGGCTTCTGTGTTCTGGCCAGTTGAAGATGCTGAGAAAATACAGAAAGAACACAGCAGTTGTGATCTATCATTTCTTGAGCTTCATATCATGTGCCTGCAGTTTGTAAAATCTAAGCCTCACTGCAGTCCTGGGAGGTCAGCCTGTCATATCCTTTTGATACAGATGGGAGATGGAGACTTGAAGAGATGAAGTGGTATGACTAAGGTCCTGCGTAGCACTAGGAAACAGCAGAACTGGGTTTGGAACCAGTTCCCACTGATTTTGAAGGTCACTAGAAGTCTTTCCTTTGAGCTAGGCCACCAGAATTCTGAAAAATAATTTGAGAAAGCTCCCAGAATTCCAAATGAATTGCAAAATAGGAAAGCCACCTCCTCTCTTTCTTCATGTTTGACATTGATAAAGCAGAGGAGAGAAAGGCAGGCAACTAAAACTATCATTTCATTGCCTTTTGTTCAATTCCCAAATAGATTCTCTGAACTGGCCAAAATTATAATCACTAATAATGAACTTATTGTGTGCCAGGCCGTGTCTTGAGATTTTACCACATAGAATTCCCCTGATCCTCACCACAATCCTGTAAAGTAGGTACTGTTATTTGTATTCCTATTTTACAGATGAAGTACACAGAGATTAAGTGACTGGCCCAAAGTTACCCACATGGTGAGTGGCAGAGCCTGGACTCTAAGCAGATGATTGGTTTCACAGGGGTAACACAAAGTGGCTCTCTGTGCTGCTAAAGGGATCAGTCCAATAAATGTCTGTGAGGATTAGGGTTAAACTAAACAGGCTATTGCATGCAAATGTCATGTTGCTGTGGAGCCTTTACAGACTCCTAATTGACTCAGAGTTCTCTCAAGTGTCTAAACCCCCAAATCTTTTGGGGAAGACCTATAAAGAAAATGACTTTCCTCATTGTCATCTTATTTGTCTGAAGTAGCACTACCATTCCCTCATGTGTTATGTCAGAGAAATAGGCCCCAGGTGCTTCTCCATGTTCATGTTTTTATCTTGATCAACCTGAACTAGTGACCTAAAAGTGGGCTGAAGTGTTACCATTCTAGGGTAGGATCTGAGGACCTTCTGGCTCTGGTGTCTTTTCCCCCACTGACTACAGGGTTGGCTCAATTCATCCAGCACCCAGCTGCCCAGTCTGCTCGCCCCTTCCTTCCTCCTCGCTTCCATGTACTCTGAAAGCATCCTTCCTGATGGAAAAAGGTGCTGTCCCAGTATTTCATGGGAAGCTTGCTTACAGTAGCGGGAGTCAAGCACTTCAATTAGTAAGTCACTTTTTGATGATAAGGCCACTATTGTAAAAGAAAAAGGGACTGGGTATCAGAAAGCCTGACTTGGAGTGTCTCCTGTGGTCTTGAACAAGTCTCTTAATGTTTCTGAGCTTCAGTTTCTTTATCTCCCTCGACTCATAGGGGTGGTGGGTAGCTCATCTAGTCTCCTTACCTGCTCTAAAGTGAGTTTAATGTTACTTCCCCCAGTTTCTGCTCAGATTCTTAAGNCACTCTGCTGCTTGCTTCATGCTGTGGTCTTGAACAAGTCTCTTAATGTTTCTGAGCTTCAGTTTCTTTATCTCCCTCGACTCATAGGGGTGGTGGGTAGCTCATCTAGTCTCCTTACCTGCTCTAAAGTGAGTTTAATGTTACTTCCCCCAGTTTCTGCTCAGATTCTTAAGAGAAGCAAATGAGAATTTATTAGAAGTTATTGTTGCAAACTGTAAATTGCAAATCTGCACTTGGATTTGGCGCATCAGTAGTTACAGTGTGATGGCATCTGCCTTGGGGTATGGCTGATACCTGCTGTAGGATGGCTCTTTTCTCCGTAGGAAGATAAGGGAATATCTTTGCAAAAGGAGTAGAGTTCAAGGGGAAAAGAGCAACCCCCCCCCCCAAGGGGTAGACCCGGGTTTCTCAGCCCCTGCAGTGTTGAGAGTTTGTGCTGCATAATTTTTTGTCGTGGGGAACTGTTCTGTGCATTGTAGGAGGTTTAGCAGTATCCCAGGCTTCCACCCATTAGATGCCAGTAGCCCCCTCCCTCCATGTGACAACCAAAAATATGTCCAGGTATTACTGCTAGATGTCCCCTGGAGGGCAAAATCATCCCCCATTGAGAACCACTGGCTTAGGGTTTTTCACCCAGAATCTCCTGAGGCCTGTGTGATCTGGAACTGAATTATTCTAAGAAGGCAGAAGAGGGCCTAAGGGGTTGACAGCACTGTTTAGTATGGGAAGGAGCTATGGGAAGGTCAGACATCTCTGTGCTGTTAGATGCTGCCATTCCGACGTGACTTGGCTAACTTCATAATTCATTTGTTTGTCCATTTACCCACTCATCAAATTAAGTTGTTGCACACCTGCTATTGTCGAGAAACTATACTAGACCCTGTAGTGGGAAATAAATGTGAAGGACAAGAAGATCCTGCCACCCAGGTTGGTCCTAGGCAGGTTACAGGGCACTCCCTCTGTGGGAGGCGAATGTGGGGCTGATGGACAGGTGATGCCATGATAGTGGTCTTTCTGTCCTCTTTCCACCACCCCTTGGACATTTTCTCTTTTCAACATGGTAGTTTTATTTCATGTTGAAGGAACAAATGCTTAAGACATATAACTGCACACAACAGTATTCTCAGATTCTTCCTTTTATAAGTACAAACTGATTAAGTCCATAGCTGAGTGGCATTGAGAAAGTCTATGAGACCGGCTGGGCGTGATTCAGCGGTTGAGCGTCGACCTAGGATCCAAGCGATCGGGGTTCGATTCCTGGTCAGGGCACATGCCCGGGTTGTGGGCTCGATCCCCAGTTGGGGGCGTGCAGGAGCCAGCCGATCAATGACTCTCTCATCATTGATGTTTCTCTCTCTCTCTTTCCCCCTCTCCTTTCCTCTCTCTAAAATCAATAAAGATATATTTTAAAAAAAAAGAAAGTCTATGACATTTAACCCCTCAGGAATCCCCCAGGGTTCTCCCCCTCACCACTGGCTTCAAAATTCAGAAAGTCCTTTCTGATCTAGGGAGAATTATAAGTCTTCTCACCCCCATTACCTTGTACTGCTGCTTAATCAGGAATCTTCTCCCTTACATCTGTTTGGGTGGTATTCTTAGATTCCATGGCATTGTGAAATCTAAGAGAAATGTTTAAAAAGTAAACTCAGAATATATCCTGCCTTAGAAACAGTATTCTTTTGTGCTTAAGATCTTTTATTGTGGCTAAGGGTCTCATTTTATGCATTTCTGTGTGACCTAAGTGTTAGTAAAGTGTGGATGTGAACAATACTGACTAAGATGAGCCATCAGCCATGGAACATGTGTAGCATGGTCTCAGTATTACTACAGAAGGAATCTACCTCCATCATCTACCTCCAGACAGTCTTTTAACAGAAAACAAGAATATTTTTTGACCAGCATTGCCAGAGAGCATCTTCCTTCATTGATTATCTCTTTGTGTGCCAGATTCGGTGGCAGGCTTTTGGGACACAGTAGGGCACAAGACAGATATGTCCCCTGCTTCAAGGTCAATCAAAAAAGTAAGCAAATAAAATAATTTTAGGTACTGACAAATGCGACGCAGAAAAAAAAGCAGGGTGATGTGATAGAGAGTGTTAGGGATTTCAGTGGTCAGGAAAGCCCTCCTTAGGAGCTGTCATCTCATGGGAGACCTAAGTGACAAGGAACCACCTGTGTGAGTGACGGGGGAAGAACACCCTTTGCAGAGGGAAGGGACCGTTGCTTCTAAGGCCCGAAGGTGATTAGGACCAGTTCTGAACTTGTTCCTCTAGCGTCATAAAGCATCCCAAGTTGCACTTACAGACTTTTTTCCCTGTCTGTCCCTACTTCCTACCAGGTGTGAACTCACTGGGCAGTGTGTTCCTCTTCCTGGGCTCCTCTGTGAGCAGCTCTCTGCTAGAAAATTGTTTCATTTCATTTTCTCCTTTTCTGTACTTAGAGATTGCTAGCAATAATAATATTGGGGAAGTAGGAGTAAAATTTTTTGAGTTTTAAGTTTGAATTACAAAGCTGATTGGTATAGAAATTTAAATATTCATGGGCTTTTTATTCTCTTTGAAAATAAAAATGTGATTTTTCTCCCTGCCTATGGTCAGTCCTCTAGCCTTCCTTGACCTTGTTTTGTAATTTTATGTGGCAGAAACTACAGAAACTGAGATTGAGCAATTTGCTTTTTATTTCTAGCCCTTGAAACTCTAGCTTACTCTTCTGGTCTGGAAAATGGAGTTAAAAGTTCACTGACACAGCTCTGTCCACTCCTTATATTACTTTAAAATATTTTAACTGCATGCAGAATGTGCATCTTAAATGACTTTTCGTAAGTTGGCTCCTTGATTTTAGTAAGTTCAGACCCCTGCCTTTGCCAGCTCTCTGCCTGGGCATCCCTCAGGGTGCTGCTTTCCCCCAGCCTGGCCCAGCCCAGCCTGGCTCACTGACTGCACAGGGAAGCCCGCCAGGGCGGAAAAGGGCAAGTTTGATGCCCGTGGCCTCATTCACTGTTGTCTTCATATCTCTCCTTCCCCTGCTCCCCTCCTCTCACCCCACATTGTTTATTTGTTCATTGAAAAAACATTTACTTGAGTACCTACAATCAAGGAAAACCATTTGAGTTTAGAGAAGACATATTCACACATATGCAGGCAGCAAGTAAATTAGACTGTCGTGGGCCATAGCCAGCCTGCACGTTTTACTTATCTGACACAGCATGTAAGGTGGGTTTTCTTTCTTTTTTTCTTTTTTTAAATATATCTTTATTGATTTCATAGAGAGGAAAGGAGAGGGAGAGAGAGAGATAGAAACATCAATGATGGGAGTCATTGATCGAGCCTGCAACCCAGGCATGTGCCCTGACCAGGAATCGAACCCCGATCGCCTGGATCCCAGGTCGACGCTCAACTGCTGGGCCACGCCTGGCTGGGCTAAGGTGGTTTTTCTTAATGTAGTTGACAGTATTTGAAAATTGGGCAGTTTCCCATAAAACCTGGATGCTGGGGTGGGGGGCCTGCCAGTGTCTCTGTGTCCTTGAGGAAGATTGGGGAAGGTGCTAGGCATAGGGCAGAGGCTGTAGACATAGCAACCTCAGTCCTTGGTCTCATCTGCTGAGGTGTCGAGTTTAGGCGACATCTTGATAACTACTTCGAGCCCTAAGATTTTAATCTGAAATATCACATGATCAACTTTGCACCTTGGAGGCCTTGTTGAGGAATCTTTGAAACTGTCAATTCCAAAGGTAGGGAGATATCCAGGAAGTTGTGGCAGTAAATCAGAGGGGAGGGCGGAAGAAGCTGAGCACAGGAACTGCACTCAAGTTCCACAAGAAGCAAATAAATTGGGGCGAAGAAGGCTATTGAGGAGTTGAAGGAAGTGCTCAATGAGGCATAAGTGGACTCCAAAGGAGGGAGGAGTCCCCTGTCAGTGACCTCCAGCTGGTCCTTGGAGTGCCCATGGGGCTGCTGCTTTCAGAGTGGGTAGGACTTTGCTAGTCTCAGACTTGCCTGGTGGTCTGTGATGCTTATTTGCATTTGTGTATTTTTTCTGGATTGAAAGGCCTTCATCAGGGTCTGTGGTCTCAAAAACAGAACCCAAATGTGGCTGTTTTGGGTAGAGTACGTCAGGGCCCTGCAATGGTTTGTACCAGTGCCAGCAGTTTTTAGCAAGACAAAGACACCTGATGAAATGCACGCCCTGAGAGCCTCACTGCATGGTGCTTTCAGATATCTTGGTAGGAGTGCACAAGGAATGGGGACAGTGGAGCAGAGAGGGTTGCAGGTGGCGGAGCTGACATGAAGGTGTCGCCTGGGCCATGGGGGTCTGCAGGGAAGTTTCATCAAGGCTCGTGTGCTGTGTGCACTGAGAAATCTATCACGTTGGTAACTTCCAAAGCTGTGTCCCTAATTGGACTTCAGAGTTTCTAATTTGGCAAGACAAATTAGTTTCTAGTTTCATATTTTGTAAAGTGGGGGGTGCTTGTGAAAAATACAATCCCCAGTTCTCAGATCTACTGAATCATTTTATATGGGAGCTGGGGCTGGGGGATTGTCCAAAAATTTGAATTTTTAACAGATTCTGGTGATTCTGATGGATAGTTTGGTTTGAAAACCACTGTCTTAGGGGAAGTAGACTTTTAGGAGAAAATGTATGTTCTTAATTAACTTGCCCACTTAGACAGTCCATTTATTCATTTAGCAATTCTTTCTTCAGTGATACTCATGGCACAAGCCCTGGGTCAGAGCTGGGTATTTAGCTGTGAGTGACAGACTGTTTGCTGCCCAGAGAGTTTTCCTGCCCAGCAGTGGGCACAGACCTTCACCTCGTGGTGCCCCCGTTACAGCATCACTATAAGGGTAGCACAGGCACTGAAGCAGGACAGACCTCTGGGCAGGAGTCAGAGCTGCCTAACAGCGGCAACAGTTTGCACAAAGGCCTCAGACAGTAGAGGGCGGGTTTGGGAAGTTGTGAGAGAAGCCTGGAATGTGCAGGTGCGTAGGGAGGTGCAGGGCATGTACAGGGTGTAGTGAGAAAAGGAGGAGTTGTGGGGGATCTTGGTCTTTAACCTTTAAAAGACGGCATTTAAAAGACAGCATCATACAAACTCCATATATTTTCCAGGATCAACTGTACAAATAATGGTTTCTTTCCTTTTGCCTGTAAAAAAGAATGTATATGCCTAGATTTCTGAGTATTTAAAGTTCCATGAGTCAGTGGGCACCAGCATGCCATCATCTGTAGGTTACTTGGGCAGGCCAGTGCCCGGAGATAGGATGCCCGCTTGTGCGTGCTGTCCATCTAGGGAGGTGCTGGGAGTGGATGTGGCAGGAGACAAGCCTGAGCTGTGCTCCAGCTATTCTGGTGAGGGCCCAGCCTCTATGTGCAAAGCACTGTCAGTTTCAGGTCTGAAACACTCACCTCTGGTCTGTGTCTCCCCTAGATCCTGCCTGGCCTGTATATTGGCAACTTCAAAGGTGAGTTCTCTCTTTCTTTTCTTTTTGTATTATTGTGGTAAAATATGTATAATATGAAATATGCCATTTTAACCATTTGTAAGTGTACAGTTCAGGGCATTAACTACATTCGCATTGCTGTGTAAGCATCACCACCATCCATCCACAGAACCTTTTCATTTCCCCAACTGGAAGTTAGTACTTCCAACACCCATTTACTACATGACAGTGCCCATTAAACACTGCCACTCCAGCCCCTGGAAACCACCATTCTACTCTCCATGTCTATGACTGACTCCTTTAGGAGCCTCATATAAGCAGAATCATGCAGTGTTTGTCCTTTTGTGTCTGGCTGGTTTCACTCAGCACAGTGCCCTCAAGGTGCATCCATGCTGTAGCATGTGTCTGAATTTCCTTCCTTTTTAAGGCTGAGTCATATTCCATTGTATGTGTATATGATACATTTTATTTATCCACTTATCTGTTGATGGGCATTTGGGTTGCTTCCACCCAAAGGTAAGTTTACTTTTTAAAAGGTCAGTGTTAGCCTTCTCACACATGATTGAGCCAAGCTGTAAACTCGGTTTATTCAAAGTCTGGGCTGGACGTGACCACCACTTGTGCCAGGCCCTTGCTGGACTGGACCCTGGTTCTCATGCTCGACCCCTTGGCCAGTGCTGACTGAGTGGTACGGAGCTTGCAGGTTCCAGTTCGATCTCTGACCTTCATTTTAATCCTGCACACGTGGGAACGTGATCTAAAGAAGATGGCTGAAAGATACATGTAGCAGCCATGCAATTTATTTATAATCTTTTATCACTTTTTTTGTAGTTATTATTAATAAATTTTTAGAACCTTTTTTTTAATCACCTGGGAAAAATAAGAGACAGTTTTATCTTTAGCAGATTCTTCTCATCTTGTGTTGACTTTTCTTTTTACGCATTTCTCTGAGGCTTATTCAGTATGTATTTATTGATTTGCTGTCAGCTGTTGACTTTTTATTTTTAGCTTATCTGTCTCAAAATGCTCTGTGGTCATAGAGGTGAGTAGAAACCGAAGGAGCCACGTACATGGTGGCAAACAGGCTTTTGACTTCCAAGGAGGGCAGGCTGCCCATGCTGTGGACGCTCTGAGTTTAATGAAAAGGCTGGCTCCTGAGCGTGGAGACGGTGTACTCAATAGGAGGGAAAGCATGGAGGAAACCTGCAGAAACAAGCAGCCTCGTAGGGCTGTGAGAGCCAACCTTCCTCATAGGCATCTGAAACTCCGCCCTCGAGCTGGCCAGAACACACTGCTGTCAATTTCTGGTTGTTGCCTAAATTTGTGAGTTCAGAATCAAGTTGATTGTAGAAACAAGCTGTGTGATTTCTCTTCATAATGTTTGCTTCCCTTTCCCCAGAAGGCTCCAGCGCTGCTAGTCCCCTCAAAGAGAATTAAGCACAGGTAGCTGACAGCTGGCTGCTTGCTAATTGCTACTAAAAGCGTTAAAAATAGTGCTGGGGTTCCTAAGTCAGTGAGCTTTGTAGTTCTGAAAAAGCCCCGAGTGCAGTGCGGTAGGTGCCCCGTGCAGCTGGAACACATTCAGGAGCAATATCTTTAGCAATTTATTTAGTGAGGTAATATTAACCATTTTCATGGGGAGAAGGAAATGTCTGCATGTTTGAAACAGAGTTTAGGATAAATTCTTAGAAGTAGAATTACTAGGTGAAGTTTTACAACTTTAAACTTAAAAGTTGTAATAAATACCAACCAAATGAAATACTTCTGCCAACAATTTGTGAGAGTTCTATCCTTATACATAGGATACTTTCTTATAGAGTGGCATTATGCACAGCTTAAGGAAATACTTAACTCTTCTTGTACTAAAATCTGTACCTATTTTCTAAATGTTCAGTGACAGGAATCCTTCACAACCCCAGGATGCTTGCTTCGTAGGCTTCGCCTGTTAGAGTCCTGCAGCAACCCATACCTGTCTTTGCTCAGGTGGTGATGTTTTGTCTTTGCCTCTAGTTATTCTTACATTAGTATGTCGTTGTGTTTTATTCACATATTAATTCACCAAGCATTTCTTTTTTTTTTTTTTTTTTAATATATCTGTATTGATTTCAGAGAGAGGAAAGGAGAGGGAGAGAGAGAGACAGAAACATCAATGGTGAGAGAGTCATTGATCGAGCCCACAACCTGGGCATGTGCCCTGACCGGGAATCGAACCCCGATCACCTGGATCCTAGGTCGATGCTCAACCGCTGAGCCACGCCTGGCCAGGCCACCAAGCATTTCTTAAACAATCATCAAATGTCAGACTTATCTACATAAGAAGCTGGGAGAGGGTGTTGTGTCCATATAGTTGCCTGTGAATTAATTCCTCTGTTCCACAAACTTGTTGCAAGTGCCCAGTGTGCAGGGCACTGTGCTGAGTCTGACATGGACACGGGTCCTGGGCCTCATTGGTTCAATCACAGGGAGCAGGTCCTGCAGAGTGGAGAGAATCTATGGGGGGCCTTGTCTTGAAATTCATCCACCGCACAGCCCACAAACCAGATGTTTGCCCTCTACACTTTAAGCAGCCTATGCGTGAGGGGATGAGCACCTCCACCCTGGGGCCAGTGAGGCCTGTGCCAGACGGTGCAGCCAGAGCACCCGCTTCATGCCTGGAATGCGGCAGTTCAGCCAGGATCCAACCCTGCTCACCCTCCCCATCTGTGAAACTGGACCTGCACCTCCTGTGGGCTCATAAAGCACCCACTGGGTGCCAGGGGTGCAGTAGGTGCAGATAAGCGTTAGACAGCAGGTATACAACCCGAGGTGAGAGGACCATGGCTTCTCCTGGACAGTGAGTCCAATTGCCATCTGTGCTTTGGCTAAATGATGTCTCATTTAGTCATTTCTTCTCTTTTTAAATTACAAATAATGCATGCCTACTGTAACACAACCACCAGTATAGAAATGTATACAGAAAAATTAATGGAATTCTTTTACTCTCTGAGAGACCTTTATTTTTCACTGCACTGCGCCTCAGGCCTAGATCTCCTCTATCCCGTCATCAGAAATCCTCTACACTTTAACTTTGCAATGAATCACAGACAGTCTTCCCACACCTGGGGATTTTTCCACCTAGAGAAAACCCACAGACAAACCTGACTTCTGGATTCCTATCTTTGAGGAGAGCCTCTCATTTGAGAAGCCTGTAAGTGACAGCTGGGTCTGCCCAGACACAAGGAGCAAAGGCAGGGAGTGGAAACTCAAAGGTCAACTACTCCCTAGGCCAAGAGGGTGGGGTTAGCTGCTTCTTCACAGCTTGGCAAGTTCAAAAGTGGCTGTGAGCAGACACAGGAAGCCGTCTAGAAATCTAGAAAAGTAGGAAACGGCTCAGGCTGTGTGTGCAGGTGATGTATGCGGGGACACATTCGAGGTCCCAAAGCTTTTGTTCAGTGAGAATGGCTATGGTTCCTGGTTGTCAGATGAGGCTGAGATGGTGAGCTTCTGAACATTACCTGCTGTCAGTGTTATCTGTGGTGGGCGCTACCAGCGTAGCCTGGGAGAGCTGGGTGTGGAGTGTGGAGCTGCAGGGTGCAGTGAGAGCTGAGAATCAGATGTCTTGGAAGTAAGCATGCATGTGGAAACATTCAGCTGTGATGGAGACTGAGACCCATACCACAGCCTTGGGACTGAATCTGGTCGTGATGATGATGATGATGATGATGATGGCAACAATACCACTTACCACATGCCAGCCAGGCACTGCTCTCAGCTTTGTGTATCATTTAGTAATTCCAGCAACCCTTTGAGGTGGTACTCTCGCCATTTTCCCATGTCATAGGTGAGAAAAGTGAAGCACAGAAACTTTTGCCCAAGCTCAAGACAAATAAATGTCAGAGCCAGGATTTGATAGAGAAGGGAAGAGGTGGGAACTGTCCCATTCTGGCCCCCACCACCAGTTGAAGATGTATCCACTTAAAGATTGGACCCAATAACAGCTAGTTTATAACTAGAAGTGATTACAAGGCATAGTAATTTGTAACTCAAAGTCATTTTGATGTCAGGGGTGAGGGGAGGGTGTTGGAGATTGGAGAGTAAAAGGGGACAGGCGACAAGGGTCCAGGGGCCAGGGGAGATGCTGGCAGAGAGGAACAGAACATGGTTAGCTGTTTTTACCAGTAAGGGGTTATCTACTCGTTTTACTTATTAATGCAGTTTCTATTGAATTTTCCCTCGTTAGAAGTGTGAACTCATCAACTAAAATAAACTTAAAATTTCAAGAATCCAAACCTGAGCCCTGGCCCGGTAGCTCAGTTGGTTAGAGTGTCCTCTGGATAAGGTTGAGGGTTCGATCCCACATCAGGGCACATACAAGAAGCAATTAATGACTACATAAATAAGTGGAACAACAAATCGATCTTTCTTTCTTTCTTTCTTTCTTTCTTTCTTTCTTTCTTTCTTTCTTTCTTTCTTTCTTTCTTTCTTCTTTCTCTCTCCCTCTCTCCCCCTCCCCCTTCCCATCTCTCAGGTCAATAAAATGAAAATAAAAAATAAAATAAAAATCCAAACATGATGTAAATATGTTAGAGCGAAAAATTCCCAAAACCTCATATCCCGCGATAACCATGGTCAGCAAATTTTCCTGTAGAGTTTTTTCCATTTGAATTCTAACCTGTAGTCTTCCCATTGATGACATTAATATCGACTTGTTGCATTTGTGATACAAGTGGCTGTGAATTGTTTTCTAGCCTAGAAACAGCGCTAACGTTCTGGTGGGCGGGGTCCCATGTACCTTGCGCACAGCCTTCCAGGGCTCTTACTCCAGTGCAGGTTCTCACTGCAGGTGTGTAGTGGGCCTGCATTTCCAGTGTGCTTCCAGGCGATGCCCAGCTTCTGCTTGACGGAGCCCGGGTTGAGCAGCACAGGACTGAGTCCTGTGCTATGGTTCTGTGCTCATAGAGCAGTGTGACATCTCCAGGCTCACGCGTGTGCACGTCAGCAAGCTGGTAAACCATGGCCAGAATCTCACAGCTGCATTCATAGCTCATTCCCACGGTGCCCGTGGTTGTAGGCAGCCACCCAAAATCATCAACAGTGCAGAGTCCTGCAGAGCCCAGTGTCATCAGTAGCTGTGATGAAGCATTTTATGCACTCTCAAATCTGTGGGAGGAGCCTGTGCTTATGGAAAGAGTAGCCCAAAGTGCCGCATCAGTGTGGATGGTGCTATAAGGACACAGGAGCGTGGTCCACCAGGGGCTGCCATTTTCTGTGGAGTCTAGCAGTCAGTGTCTCATTTGTGTATAGAGTGGTCTTCTGTGTGCACAAATGCCATCTTATTCCCAAACCACTCTTTGTGTTGTTTATCTTAATCATTGTTACAAAAGCATATTTATGGGGTGATGAAAATATTCTAAAGGTAGATTGTGGTGATGGTTAAACAACTCTGAATATGCTAAAACCCTTGAATTGTACACTGTTAAAGGGTGAATTTTATGGCATATGAATTATCCTAGTAAAGCTGTTTTTGAGAAAAGAATAAAATATATTTAAACAGATATTGACCGTTGAATCTAAATCCTGGGCAGGATCGGAATCTGGAAGCTCCTGCCCTCCAGTGTCCCAAGCCAGCTTTGGAGAGCTCACTGCTGCTCTGTCTTTCCCGCCTCCTGCCCCCCCTCTGTCTCATCCTGAACCCTGGAAGCGCTAGCTGCTCTTGTTTCACTTGTGAATTCCCATACACACTGGCAGTAATTGGAAAATCACATTTTGGTGACAGTGTGGAGGCTGGCTGCCTGTGGGATCCTAAATGATTCCAGTTCCTGCCTAATTCAGAGCTCACTGATGCTGCCCTGGGCCTTGTGGTTCAGTGGTCAGAGCGTCAGCCCTCCACCAAAGGGGGGGTTTGATTTCTGGCCAAGGGCGTGTACCTCAGTTGCAGGCTCGATCCAGATCCCTGGTCCTGGTTGGGGCGCATGCAGGAGGCAGCCAGTCAATATGTCTTTCTCACATGGGTATTTTTCCCTCTCCCCTCTCCACTCTCCCCTTCCCCCCTCTCTCCCTCTCCCCTTTCC